TTAGGATTAGCAGCAGGCTAAAAAACAGGCGATGCGGCATTGGTCAAAACAATTGATAAAATTTTTTATCAATTTCTGAACTAAGGAACTGTTCACGAATCGTAACTGTTTAAAGTACCAAGATAATTATCAGTACCAGTATTATAATAGATGATAAATTTTACCTAAAAACCTCCCAGCCGTAACCAATTAAAGCAGCAAAAACGCGTGGTGCAAAGTCTCGAGCCGGATTGATTGGATACCCGACGTTCATTCCGAATGCCATCCCGATCATTGCAATGAGTAAGCCAACAAGAAGAGCGTGTATTCCAGGCGGAATTTCCATACGTTTATCTGTTATCACGCAGACGAACAGGGCCAAAAAACCCGTGCCAACAAACTGAAATACAAATAAAAAAGAGGATCTTATTTGTCTCATAGAAACTTGTCGAATTTCATGCCTCAAGTTTGATGTCAACTTTCAAGATTGAACAGCTGAAGTTTGCCAGTGGGGATACTTTTCCTTGCACGAATTTGTGAACCAATTTTGCATTTTTTTTTTTATATAACTGCTGCAATACGCACTGGTCTGCAGTCTCTTTGATAGATTTACGTGATGGGCTAAACAGCTAAAAGGCATATACAGCGGATTCGGCAGCTTGGTTTCAGGTTCTGCTCCCGAAACAAGATCATTCTTGGTAAACGCTTTTTCCTAAAGGCGACGAAACTAAGAATAAATCCTCTTCCAATTTGTCCTCTTTCTTAATATCGCTTTCTCGTCATCTCCCCTTCTCTAATTAATTTTTTCCTACGCTGTTTGGCATGCTCATCAGAAACGCGGCGGATAGGAAACAGTATTTGGATCTGTGTTTACAGCTAAGAAATGAAGCACAGACTGCATCCTAAATTGTATTCTTGCATTTGGTACTTAGACTAATCCCTTATCTCCTACTCAATCATTTCTGTCGGTAGATTGGTACTAGCATAGACCCGGAAGTCAAAGGTACCACCGAATTTTGCCAGTGGATGGTTATTGGTTAGTCTCCGAATATTTGCGAATGCCTCTGTGAATACACAAGGGTTTTGGCTTCGAACTGAAAAAAAACAGGATGATTTTGTTATCAATGCGCTTAGTAAACTAGCGTACCTGATCCCAAAAAGCGATCGTGTTGGAGACATATGGAGCTGGCATTGAGGTGAACAACGTAGCTGTACCATTTGGACCCGAAGCGATACGCAGATCACCCAAAACATGATGTGTCTGATCTAAAAATTTTTCAATAACATTCCAAAATAAATTCATCCGAAGCTTAATGGCTACGTTGTTTTAAGCAGCTGTTCGACTTCCTCATTCTGTGTTGGAGGATGAGGCACCTG